ATATATATATATTTCTGTCAAAATTACTTATATATAATATAATGTAATGTAATGTCATGTAATATAAGTAAGGGATACCCCTATTCTGCAATAACAACCGGCTGGATATACATTATCTCACTTATTACACGGCTACTTGCCACATAAGTAAATAATTAGACAAAATATTGATTTGTCTTGAAATATTTGAACGCAAAGCTTCCAGTGAGCAAGAGGTTCAAACTAGATGGACATTTAAGAAATACGGGACATATCACTTATTACACAACATTTCACCACATAAATAATTAAGGCGATAAAATATATTGATTTAAGACAAAAATGTTTTAAATTCTTACCAGTATGTTAGTTATCTTATAATCCATTACAGTGTACAAAACAATCGTCGCAAAATGGCAGCAGCTGCGGTTGAAAGGAGAGAGTGAGTCTGCGATACCAGGATGACATAATTAAATTATTTTACACATAATATTGAATCGAGCTTTAATATTTTATTAGCTAACGAAACGCAAAGCTTCCACCTAGAAAAACTGTTCCTGGCAGTATAGCGCAGACTTCAGTTACCCAGATGAGCCTGTGTTATCAGCTTTTACCAGTTGTTATCGAGGAATAACATACATTGGAACGTCGCGACTGACCAATCAGAATCAAGTATTCCACAGAACTGTGTTATAATTTAATATAATATAATATAATAATTTCTACACTGTAAAAATAACATTTTCCTGTTAAATTGCGTAAATTTATGGCATGTTAGCCAAAAATGTACTATAAAAATATGGTGACAATGTTTCAGGTATGGCATATTGATGCCTGAAAATTTTACAACTTACACTAGGCAAAATAATGTAAATATATCAATACTAACTACTTGATAACATCTACTTGAACTATCTGATTTTTTTAACCACCATAATAATACAGGTGTCAGAGCAGACATGTAACACAAAACATGCTAATGTACATTACTAATAACAAAAATAAAAAAAAATGTGTCATACAAGGACTTCTGGGAATGTCCTTTACGGTTTCACACCATGAATTATATTGTAATTCAAAATTCGAAAGGTACTTCACAATAAAATTACATGTAATGTGATGTTAAACCATTTAGAATTTTCACCATATATGGCAAAGCAATGTACAGTTAAACAATAACCGCAGAATTATTCTTTAAAAATGACAAACTTTTAAGTCAGGTTAAGTTAAAACTTGTGTGCGGATAGTTCAGAAAGTTCCATTGTTGTCACTGTAAAGTCATGTAATTCACAAATTTAGCATGCAGAAATGCAAGCCGTACCAGAGAAAGGTTTGTTTGTTATTAGCATGTGAAGGTGATAAACATACCTCGTCAGGCGCTGTGGTTGAGGGTGCTCCCCAAACTTCCTGTAAAGAGAGAAAAACACTTTAGCAGAAATTCAACCACAATACAAACAAAAACATAATTTTATGCGCACAAATATTTGAGGGCACACCTGTGTATTATACTGTGCCACTGTAACACAAACACACAAGCCCGTTCCCATCACTCAACAAGGGGCAAACACAATCATGCACTCAAATGTGCCGCGACGGGCAAACACGCACCTGCCCGCTATTTGAGATTAGCAGGCTTGCAGCTGTTGTAGTGACCTTGTGAGAGCACAGTCACATGACCGTGTGTACAAACACACACAGGTGGCCAAACTAAACCACTTTCCCATTCGGATTACATCCACCAGGCTAATTATCACATGAAAGCTGTCTAACGGCACAGTTTAGCGATTCCTGCTGCCAAAACCGCATCACTTTCCTTTTGATAGGGATTTAAAGGAATGTTCCGGGTTAAACGCAAGTTGAGCTCTCGCCACAGATGCTGTTGATTACCGCAGCCCTCACTTTGGAAAAACAAGCATAAATCACATTTGCAGTAATAAACGTATAATGGAAGCCTACAGGGCAAGGCATTCTCTGGGATACATGTTAAAATATACACAGTTTTGAAAGTAGTCTTGAGTTAACACATACCATATAATGAATATAGTGAGATATAATTGCTTGCTAATCATTAACGATTACTAATGCAATATTTGAACTTTTACAAAACCACTAAACTCACACAATATATGCTGAGATATCAAAAAGAACATGATTTAGCCTAACTATTTGCACAGTACTAGTTCGTACAGAGCAAACTAAAAAGAAAAAATTGTGCAGGATTTTTTTCTGTCAATATTTTGTTTAGGATTTACTTTGAAACTCAGAAATTGATAGTACATTTCACAAATAATTACAAAGAACTGGCAGGTAACACACCACAATAAATTAAAAGTGAAATTTTGAAATAGAAATCCTGAAATTTGAAAATTTCTTGTAAAATGTATTCCAATAATCTGTTTTATTTACTTACATTTTAACAGTGTAGGCCTATAAGTTTTTTTTTCCTCAGCCCAGTTGTAAAAATGGACAACTTGAAAGAATTCTGAATTTAAAAAAGAAAAAAAAAAAATGTTTTTGCAGACTTACAGTACGCGCATTACTGTGAACTGATTTTTCAAGTCACAGATACTGTCAATAAAGCTTAATAAGATTTGAACCCATAACATTTCTTTAAATGATCATGATCAGAAAAACAACGCAGCAGTTTAAAGGGGTCATATGATGCTGCTAAAAAGAACATTATTTTGTGTATTTGGTGTAATGAAATGTGTTTATGCGGTTTAAAGTAAAAAAAACACATTATTTTCCACATACTGTACAATGCTGCATCAACACTAACTGCGTTACTGAAAACATGCCTTCTTTCTTTGCGTGCACATTTGCGGCGGGATTATGCAAATATTTCCACATAGTGGGGTAGATATGTGGGGGCGTGTTAGAATGAGCCGTTTTAGGGGGGCGTGGCAGAGTCTTAACTTTGATAAAGAATATCTCTTTGGTTTTGAGACTTTAGTCTTTGCAACTTCAGGGATCTTATCTATGCACAATCAGCTTGTAACACTCCAAAGAGAAAGGAAAACTTGAAATCGCATCATATGACCCCTTTAAGAAAAGTCCAATGATGGCCCAGTAATGGCCGCAAATTCCCTCAGATGTGATATTTCACGTCAGGCAGACATAGACAGTGTTGGGAGTAACGCATTACAAAAGTAATAATATTACAGTAGTATATTACTTTTTGCTGTAACGCAGTAATATAACGCATTACT